TTTTTTTTGGTAGCTATTGTAAATGGTATTGATATCCTTACTTCATTTTCAGCAATCTCTTGGCTGATGTATAGGAAGCCAACTGATTTTTGTATGTTGATCTTGTATCCTGCCACCATGCTAAATCTCTCAATTAGTTCCAGTAGTTTTTATTTTTATTTTTCCTGAATCTCTTGGGTTTTCTATGTATAGGATTATATCATCATAAAATAGGAATAGTTTGACTTCTTCCTTATCAATTTGGATGCCTTTGATTTCCTTTTCTTGCCTTGCTGCCTTGGCCAGGACTTCCAATACAATGTTGAATAGAAGTGGTATTAGAGGGCATCCTTGTCTGGTTCCTGTTCACAAGGTGAATAGTTTTAGTCTCTCTCCATTGAGAATAATGTTGGCTGTTGGTTTTGTATGTATGCCCTTTACTAGGTTGAGGAATCTCCCTTCTACTCCTATTTTGTTGAGAGTTTTTATCAAGAATGAGTGTTGGATTTTATCAAATGCCTTTTCTGCATCGATTGATATGATCATGTGGTTCTTTTCCTTTGTTTTATTAATGTGGTGGATGACATTGATTGTTTTTCTAATGTTGAACCATCCTTGCATATCTGGTATAAACTCTACTTGGTCATAATGTATTATTTTTTGGACATGTTGTTGGAGTCTATTGGCTAGTATTTTGTTGAAGATTTTTGCACCTATATTCATGAGGGATATTGGTCTGTAGTTTTCCTTTTTAGTGATGTCTTTCCCTGATTTTGGTATCAAAGTTATGCTTGCTTCATAAAATGAATTTGGGAAGATTCCATTCTTTTCTATGCTCTGAAATAGTTTGAGTAAGATTGGTGTCAGTTCTTCTCTGAACATTCGGTAAAATTCTCTGGCGAAACTGTCTGGACCAGGGCTTTTTTTGGTTGGTAATTTTTTTATGATCCATTCAATTTCTTCTTTTGTTATGGGCCTGTTTAAATTTTCCACCTCAGCCTCTGGTAGTTTAGTTAAGTAGTATGCTTCTAGAAATCTCTCCATTTCTTCCAGATTTTCAAATTTGTTGGCATATAGTTCTCCATTTTATCCTGATATTATCCTTTTAAGTTCTGTTGGTTCTGTTGTGGTGTTGCCCAATTCATTTCTTATTTGTGTTATTTGTATCCTCTCCTTCTTTTCCTTTGTTAAATTTGCCAGTGGTTTGTCAATTTTATTAATCTTTTCAAAGAACCAACTTCTAGTCTTGTTGATTTTTTTTCTATTGTCTTTCTATTTTCTGTTTCATTGATTTCTGCTTGAATCTTTATTATTTCTTTTCTTCTGGTGACTGTAGGCCTTTTTTTTTTTTCTGCTGCTTTTTTTTAATTGTTGGAGATTTTTGGCTAAGGTGCTGATTTTGGCTCTTTCTTCTTTTTTGATATGTGCATTTATTGCTATGAATTGGCCCGTGATCACTGCTTTTGCTGTGTCCCAAAGATTTTTGTATGTTGTGTTTTCATTCTTGTTTGATTCAAGGAATTTTTTAATTTCATTTTTTATTTCTTCTATTATCCAGTTTTATTTTTCAAGGAGGGTGCTATTCAGTTTCTGTGTTTGCTCTTTTCCTGTTCATCTTCCTATTTTTGGTTTCTAATTTTACAGCATTGTGATTTGAGAAAATGCTTTGCAGTATTTCAAAGTTTTTAAATTTATTGCAGCTTACTTTGTAGCCTAACATATCGTCTATCCTGGAGAATGTTCCATGTGCACTGGAAAAGAATGTATATTGTGCTGTGGTTGAGTGAAGTGCTCTGTAGATATCTTTAAGGTAAAGTTGGTGGATTGTATTGTTTAGTTCTTCTGTGTCTTTGTTGAGTTTCTTTCCAGTTGTTCTATCTGTGATTGAAAGTGGTGTATTAAAGTCTCCTATTATGACAATGGAGTCACCTATTTGTCTTTTCAGTTCTGTTGGAGTCTGATTTACGTATTTTGCGGCTCTTTCATTGGGTGCATAGATATTTATTATTGTTATGTCCTCTTGTTCAATTGATCCTTTAATCAGTATATAATGTCCTTCCTTGTCTCTTATGGTTTGTTTTTGTCTTAAAGTCAATTTTATCAGAAATTAATATTGTCATTCCTGCTCTTTTGTGGTTGCCATTTGCTTGATATCTCAGGAGGAAGGTTGGGC